GTATAGTAATTACTATAGTTATTATTAATATATAGTAGATAGTGTGTGTGTGTGTGTGTGTGTGTGTGTGTGTGTGTGTGTGTGTGTGTGTGTGTGTGTGTGTGTGTGTGTGTGTACAGGGCTGATGAAGTAATTTAAAAATAATTTAGTTTTATACAGTAACTGTTATTCCTGCAACACAAAATTAAAATTACTCAAAGCTTTGTTTTGAATCAATTTTACTTTCTAAATGGTATGTTTCTTCTGTATTTGTATTCTGTATTCTGAATTCAGAATCCATGAGTTCAAGCAATGTCATGAGCTACCATTCATCATGGAAGAAGAAAAGCCTAATCCAACCAATGACACTGGACTCCATTCACTTTACGAACGGAAAATCGTTAATATACAATATTTTATAAGAGAAATAAGGCATTTGAAGTTCATAGGTAAATATTATCTTTATAAAAAAAAAGAAAAGGAAAGGAAGTTTGTGTGTTATAAAGCAAATTTCTTGTTTTGTAATGGTTGTTTTCTTTGTTCAAAGCTATATCTGCACTCTGTCAACCATGTGGAATTGAACTCCCGATTTTAGTGCTGCAAGTCCATAAACGTACCAATATCCCAACAGGGTAAAGTGTTTTGTATAGGATGTTATTTATTATTTATATTATAACTATTTTTGTATTTTTTTGTATAATAAGTTGGTATTGATTCAGTTGTTTGTTTTTTATGTGGAAGGTAAGTACACGCGGCTGGCTACACTTTTCATCGGAATCCAGAGGTCTGAAATTGACATTCAAATTCAATTGTGACTTTTGCTTTGAAAATGTTAAAATAGTATCAAGAGCCAGAAGAATAAGTGGATGTGGAAGACATTCATAAGTTAGACATGAACGATTGAGCAGTTTGGGGTGTTGTCAGTTGTGGTGAAGGGCATGCTCAATTGGAAGGAAGTTTCTCAATGTTAGGAGTTCCGGTCATGTCTCTGAACATATTTAGACACGAGAAGAAAAATCGGAAAGATATTTTAAATATTTACGTATGATCCAATATACAAAGTTATTGTGTTTATAAGTATACCGAACTTCTATAGTTCCTTTCTTTAAAAAAATTATGTATGATAAAATCACCTTCATATTATATTTATTCATAATTCTATACAAACGTTTTTGTTGAATATCACATTTAATCAGTTTCAAATATGTTAATATTAAGTAAATTAAGACACCAATGTCATTGTCGTAAAATAAAATAAAAAAATCACATCTAACTTTATATTCTGTTTGTTTCAGTTGTGGGAAAAGCAAATGTTTAAAACAGTAGAGAATACTGGAGCGAAAGAAACGAACTAACAATAGAAGCAGAAGATAGTGATGGCTGATGGTGGTTGGTCTCAACGCAGTTATGGGCACAAATACACTGCAAAGTCTAGTTGTGCTGCTATAGACAGTTGTATATAACCTTTTTCACAGTAAGTGACCTTAAGAAACCTGTAGCTGGTAGACTTTACTATATCTTACGGTTAGTTAAATCAGATAACTCACTGAAATGGCTGAGTTTCTTCAATATACTTCAATAATATTGAGGATTAACTTGCATTTTCACAGATGATCCATATATAATCGAAGTATGTGATAGCCATGTTTAGCATTACTTGGTGTTTATTTGAAAATACTGAAAACTCTGACTTTGATTATTCTTTACTTTATTATAGCTGCACAAGTGTTATGTTGAGTAAACTGGCAGTAAAACTAAACCATTTACAGAGCAGGTATAGTGTCCATACCAGTAAGTATAAAATGCAGATGTAACTTTCCTCAGGATACACGACCTTGTGTTCTGTTGTACTACTACTAGTATGGTATGTGACTGACTGTTTTACTAATACACTTATGTCAGAAAAGGAAACCAAAGCTAAATCAAATTACACAGAGGGATTTTTTCAGATGTAAGGAAAGAGCTCCTTATTTGTACAAATTTTGTGACAATCTAGAATCAAAGATAATGCCATCTTTAGAAATGAAGTATTGCTTTTTAATAATGTGCCAAACAATTCAATAAACAAAAATCTATGCTACAAAAATGTTGATCAAATCTACTTATTACTAGAATATTACCAATTATATTGAAAACTCATTTATATATTATTAATATCTTATTCCCGTCATTATCAAGTTGTTTCTATAATGAGTAAGACACAATATATTCAAAAGACAAGTCTTATCATACATTCAACATCTGCTGTTTTATTATTAGTATCTTTTGTCTATGCTAAGGTTTTTTCAAAATAATATTCTACTGCCCTTTATTAAAAAAACTATTGTTTTTATAACTAATGTGCAACTTCTCTTTATTCAAGGGCTGTTATTTCAAAAATAGTTCTTAATATTCCACATTCAGGAACTGTAGTTTTTATAAGCAGTTCTTAATATTCCATTTTCAGGAGGTATAATACCAAAAATTAAATGTTTAACTATCCTCTGTGCAATTGCTGTTATTTTTATCAATAGAAAAGAATGTCCCACCCATTAGTATCTTAGTAAAAAAGCAACACCTCTTTATTGTTTAGCAATAATATACTAAAGACAAAAACAATCACTAACTTTTCCTACATTCACGAGCTGGCGTTTGTACTGTATTTCACTATCCTTTATTACCTTTCTCCATGCCAGTGGCACTGTACTGGCCAATACAGACCTTACATTAATAAAAATCACCATATTTGAAACACAGACACTTCAAACACACAGTATGATAACCATGAGGCCCTTTAAAAATTAATTTGAAATAAATGATGAAATAAGATACTGTCAAATCTTATGTAAATGGAAAGTATTTATCTTATTCTAATCTCTAAAAATTCAAACTTCTCTGTCCTCCTTTCAGTAATTTATGTACAATTTTCAAAAAGATGTCATATTGTCTACCTTCACCTGAGGGAGACTATACAAAATACTGTTCATAGGTTGTATCAAGTTAGAATTGCAGGAGTTCTTGAATTCAAAAAATTAACTATACAAAGAATGACAATAGAATCATTAGAAATATCTAAGAATTTATATTTACCTTTAAATATAAATGCAGGCCCAGGAGTTGTAGAAATTCATTTCTGGGGGATTCTTTCTTTCAAAAGAGATGAAAGGTGGAAGAACCATGTATGTCAAACAACTGATCAATGTTTTTGTGTTTGCAAATAGCAAGACATAAATAAATGTTTTCCTTCCTGATAATGAGGGGTCTGTAACTCAATGAAACATGTAGATTTTGGATAAGGCCTGGTGCCTCAAACAATTATAAATCACTGTGTATTTTCAAATGTTGTTTTAACAGTTTCTAAATACATAAAACTTGCATTATTTCAATGCACAAGCCCTGCACAGCCTTAAGGAGCATCGAAATGTAGTTATTGAAATCTTAGAAATTTAACAATCCATGTAAATAAGTGAGGGTGCTCTATAGTAAGCATATTATGAGAAAGAAAATCATCTAAGCTTCAGAATTAAAAAAATTAAATATGTGGAATGTTGAATTTTTAGTTTTCTTGTTGTTTTTTTTTACATCAGCAGTTTCAAAAACTAGTTTTCAAACTACTTGAACTAAAAATAAAAAGGAAATGGGGAGGGGCAAAATCGAGAATTAGGGTTGGCAGATTGGATACTGTTTTTAATTATTTTACCAACAGCATATAAACGTGAATAAAACAGATCCATAAACAAGTTGAAGCCATAAAACTTCAGTTATAATGTTATTTTATAGATAATTTTAGGAGTGTGATCTGATAGAATTTTTCAAAACTTGATGTCCTTTTATCTCGGTAAAAACATGAGATAACCAGGGTGGAAAAGGTTAAATTTGTTTTTTCCAACGTCTTTACAATCCTATCATTATAATGTATTTGACTACATAACTTCATGAACTACTGTTACTATAATTAGTATCTGACTACACCTTATTAAAGTTTTTTTTTTATTTTACTTCTATTTTTAGTATCTTACTTTTTACATTATTGAAGTGTTTCTGTAATTAGTAATTACTCTATTCTAAAACTTTTTAATCAAGCACTGTTTGCTTTTTTTAAATTGATATCTTGTGGTTCTGTATTAAAATTATTACTACTGACAGTATTTTACTATGATATACTAAAAACTACAGTTTTTAGTGTTAGTGTCTAACCTATGTTCAAAAGCTACCCTTAATTTAAAATTGTTCCAATTGTATGATTCAAAAGTCAGTACCTGTTTTGTTTTTTGTCATCTTATTTCACAATATTTCTTAAGTTGATAACTAGTACCTTACTATCCAACACCCAAGAGCTATTGTTCCTGCTTCCTGTCTGTGATTTGTATAATTCCACTCTATAATGATGAAATAACAGCAGGTCTCGCACAAATGACTCAAAATTCAATTTGCTGAGAGAGACAGTTTCTAGTTTTCTAGACCCTGAAATAAGAAAAGTATTATATGAGGTAGGCATAAAGAATGAATGTTTCTTAATACAAAACATTAAAAAGATACATAATATATAACCCATATCTTTAACCTTTAGTATTAAAAATGATAATTGAGATTGCATATAAATAATATATATATGTAAAAAATATTTTCATTTAATTTTTTTTGTCTAAAATTTTAAAGGATGCAAGTTACTTCAGTACATTTTACCTTTATCTTCAAAAAATATACATCTCTATCCAACAAATAAACACAGTAAGACAAGAATTGCAGACACCAAAAATAAAAAACTGCAAAGCCAAATAACCATGTTGGAGTTAGATCGACTACCTCATATTACAAGATTTAATGACCTTTATACATATACAAAAAATACTCGGCAAGAATGTAAATGTCAAAACTTATAATAAATAAAAAAAAGTTACATACATATCTTGTTTAGTACTAACTATTATATAAACAGGAGATTTAATCTAGTGTGAAATTTAATCCATTTTTCCACTAATCTTATTCTTCTATGAAAATTCACTACCTTCCAAAATTTTAAATGTTGAACTTGAAACATTCTCTTGGAAGTAGTAATCAAAACAACATATGCATTGTGGCTTCAAATAACACAAGTCAGTAATCACAGTTAGCCAAAAAATTCAACATTGATGTCTTGCTGGAAATCTTACAAAACAATAAAATCTATCCTGGTCAAAACTAAACAGGAACTCCAAAACTTAAGCTATGAAATTCCATATTCCTGTAATGAAACCTACATTGTAGAAATGGGAAGACAACTTGGGACAAGAATAAAAAAACACAGAGGCTGCACAAGACTAAAGAAAGCACAGAATTCAGCTACTGCAGAACATACTATGTCAACTGGACATTAAAACTGGGACAAAGCTAGAATCATAGACTTAAACAAATTTTAGAAAACAAGAAAAATAAAGGAATCTTTCTATATCAACACAATGAAATCTTCATTAAACAGAGATTTGGGTCTAAACATTAGTACTTATGGGTACCATCGATTGAATCCACAAGTTGCTCCACCAATAAGAACCAGGAACAAACAACCAATCAAAGCACTTCCATCTCAATCCATCTGAATACTACACAAGACCTGTAGACAAAAGGCACAAGACTTTTGGAATATCATTCTCTACACTTCAGCTGCGTAAGTAGGTTGTATAATCACCAATATATTTCTACAAGTGTTTCTCTAATAGGTAGTTTGTGCCCATTTCACAGTCAACTCATTATGAACACTCTACCAACACTATCTATAAAAAAAAAAATATTGAAATATATTTAAATTTAGCATATAAAATGGCTTTATAATTTGCATCTGAAGAAACTTTAAGTAGTAAGCAGTAACGAAAGCCAGCGAAAACCCTGTCTTCTGACTTAGTATTTTGTTAATCCTAAACTTTGTACATGAACATGTGTCATACACACCAGACAACAGCATTGTTTAAAATTTGGAAACAATAAAATATTTATTCACGTATCAGTACAGTACAAATATGTAGTGTGTATGCTTTTACAGACAATTCAGTATTGTTTTACAAGTTCATGAGTTTGTTTACAATAATTTTGAAGCCTTAAGTGTTGTACCTATAACTACGTAGTTTGTAACCAATGGGAATGAATAATCAAATAATTTTTGTCAGGCAAATACATAGTTAGTAAAAACCTAGTATTTTGAATATTCTTTAAGTAGCCTAAATTTAAAGTAAAATAATATAACAATTAGATTAAAGTTATTTTGTAAAATAAGACTTTTGATACTCATATTTTTATCTTAAAAAGTTTGAAAAACCATTGTTGAATGAATAAGGATGCTTGGAATATTCCACAAGTAGAGGAAGTGGCCTTCCTAAATGGTCTTCCATAACTATTAGGTTGTCATGAAATTAATGTCACGTTTTGGAACACTTTTGTTAACCCCCCCCAAAAAAAACATGGAACACTTTCATTAACCATTCCCCAAAAAACTTACATCATGTATAATAGTTAAACGAACCACCTAAACATCATGTTAGTGTAGACTATATATTGCGTAATATTTAGTATACTGTAATCCCATATAGTGATGCCACACGACAAGACACACACATTCAGCATGTAATGCTGTTTGAATACAAGAAGGGAAACAACGCCTCTGTAGCCATAAAGAATATCAAAGAAGTTTATGGAAATGTTTTGAGTGTTCTTAAGTGTCAACGATGGTTCAGCAAATTTCATTCAGGTGACTTTAGGCTTAAAAACTATGATGGCAGGGGCTGACATGTTGAAATTGATATTGATGCTCTAAAGACGCTTGTTGAGTCTAACACAAGGCAACACATTCGTGAAATGGCTCTGATATTACATGTCTCTCATGAAACAATACATAAACATCTAAGGAATATGGGAAAACTCTATAAAGAAGGTGTTTGGGTGCCACAAGAACTCTCCGATGATTATCGTTTCCAACATGCGAACGTTGCTTCGTCTCTTCTGGCGCGTAATGCGCGTGAACCATTTTTGGACAGAATTGTCCCCAGTGATGAAAAATGGATTCTCTATGTGAATATTAAATGCCAAAAACAATGGCCCAGTCCTTGACAAAAACCACTTCCGACCCCAAAACCTGGACTCCATCTACAGAAAGTGATGTTTTGCATTTGGTGAGACATCAAAGAAGTAATTCACTCAATCCACAGTGATTTGTCAATGCAGAGATCTATAGTCAGCAACTGAAATGTTTAAATCAAGCCCTTCATCAGAAATGGCCTTCACTCATCAGTCGGAAATGTGTTCTTCTCCACAACAATGGATGTCCACATGTGGCACATCTGACGCAACACAAGATTATGGAGCTGGGAAGTTCTCCCCCACCCACCATATTCTCCAGATATGGCACCATCAGATTACTATCATTTTCGTTCGCTGCAACACCATCTTAATGGGAAAATGTATGCAAATGTGGAAGGTGTTAAAGAGAACATAGACATGTTTTTTGCTTCTAAGCCAAGTGATTTCTATAGTCAGGGCATTAACAACCTGATTATAAGATGGAAAAGCATCATTGATAAGAATGGAGACTATTTCATTTAATAAATGTTTTGTTTTGATATATAAGTTGTTCGGGTTATTTTCATCTAAAAAAGCGTCATTAATTTTTTGTCAACATAATAGTTTAGAATGTCACCTTAGTCAGGTAATTCTTCAATTTTCATGTTGTTGTTCTAAATGTAACTTTGAATGTTGAAAGATAATAAACATATACTAATCCTTTTACTTGGGTAAAAACAGCATATACCAACCACTAGAAACTCATCAATCCATATCAGATTAACCCTGTCTTTAAACAAACAAGTTTCAAGGGTCCTTATAACAATTAGCTGATTTCTAAAAGCACCAGCAATTAACCAAAAATCAGGAGAAAAGTTTCAAGAACTGAACCATCCAACATGACATTAGCAACATCAAGCCCAAGAGAAATTAGTTCAATATTTAAAAATAGAATAAACCTAAGAATATAATGAGTAAAAACTTTGTATGAACAAGAGCTACCTGACAACTCCCACTCTTCAACAATGACGGTGAACAGACCTGAACAAAATACTGATTTTTTTTTCTCTCTCTCTCTCTCTCTCTTGTATCATCATGAAAAAACTGTAGCTTCTGCAGGTAAGTGTGAAACCCACCAAAAACACCAGTAAGTAATTCAGAAATAACAGCCTGAATACACTTATCAATAAGAGCCAACTACAGTGCACACAGAAATTCCATGGATGCAGACAGACTACATGAGTAAGGCCTCCAAAGAAGGTATAAAATTTCCATTACTGGTAGAAATATATGTTACATCAGAATTCACAGTGTGTCATACTAACAGCACAACTGCCAAAAAGAAAATGTGAGCCATGACAAGAAAACAGTTTGTTTTAGATCACATGATACAAGTACAATAAGTCACATGCTAAGTGGACAATTGGAGAGTTAAGAATAAGTTTGTGCATGCTCTGCATTAAAAATATTCTGAACTCTAAGTAACATGGGTGTTGGCAACATAACTCAACAAGAAAATGTTTACAGTAGTTTAAGGGTAAGTCTACCTAATTTGAAGACATATTTATGTATAAAAAAAACTTATTTTTCTTAAAAATACAATGAGAAAAATGAGTACACAGGGAGAAGACACATTTTCTACAAAAATCTGTATTTTTAATATACTTTTAGCAAATCATTGTGTTTACTTATTTTAACATTTGAACCACATTGGCTAACAAATTAATGTTTCAAGCATAAATATATTAATTTTCCTTATTTCACATATCCAGATAGCAATATCTTAAAAAAAAACAATCACTCACCAGAACAGTAATACTTGACTACAGACATAGATTTGAAAAATTCCTTGGCAACAAACACTGCATCAGATCCATGTAAAGTATAAAAATCCTAGGAAAACATACTTTGATAATGCATATTTTTCATAAACAAAAGACCTTAATCAGCTCAATTAAACATATCAAGTATTTTTTTTCAAATTATAACATTTTACAACTATACAAAAAAGCATAATTTTTTTTTCTGAAAGCATTGATAGCAATTATAAATAGTAGAGACAGCTGATATGGTTATTAAAACATTAAGTAATACATGATGATGACCAAGGGAGGTTGAAACGTTGTTACTTGTTTTGTGGTTATAACTGCATTCTTTGAGTCCGAAATTTATTTTTGTTTCTAGCATTTTAATTGCAGATTCAGCACTTCATGTCTTTTCAGGAATGAAGCACTGCACTTGCACAACACATTACTAATTTTGCACCTTTTTCTTTTTTCTCTCAATACAGCTAATCAGTGCAGGTGTTTAGAATTCAGATGGGACCAAAGGCAGTTAGTTCAAGCAATACTATCAAGTGGTTGTTGATATCATGTGACTGTTAGCATGCACTCATTGTTGTGAAAGTAAATAAATTACACTGGTGCCTTGATTATCCACACTTATTTGGGGAAAGCAAAAAGTCGCAAAAACAGTGGCTAATCAAGGCACTAGTGTATCTCACTAGTTTGCCCATTGATTAACTTGAATATAATTTTTCAATATATTTAAGTTCCTTGTATTCAATTATAATATTTTTACAGTTGTTTAATCACATTATAATGAAAAATTACAAAAGTCGTCTCTCAATCATAATCATAAAAGCCAAGTGTCAGTCAAATCAGTCAGTCACACTCGATTTCTTCGAATTTTTTTGACACAAGTTCATTTCCACTTTTTCTCCTATAATACTTCCTCTTTTGATTGCCCATTCCCATTTTAGTGAATTCAATCGCTAACATAGGTATAAATAGCTCCTATATTTTGGCACTTTTTCTGCTATAAACACAGAAGTGCATTTGCACCCTATAAAAACCTGTGAAAAACAAGTAAAAAATTAGCACAAATCTATGCTTGGGAATTATTACAAAAGAGCCTTTGTTAAAACATACTGAAGATACCAATTATCTGTAGGGAAGAGGACAATGCTTAACTGGGCAACACCCCAACACAACCTGAACATGCATCTGTGGTTAAAGGATGCCTGCCGTGCAGCATAGAACAGCAGATGACAACTGAAGTTGAGTGAAATCTTTAAGAAATCTTAATGAGTATTTTGGACGTTTTTATGTACTATGTTTTTAAATTACTAATCAAATAAAGTTAACCAAGCCACAAATATTTTGTATTCCTGTCTTAACAGCTGAAAATAAAAGAGGCAAGGCTAGGCTTGAATCAGCCAACTCACAATCTGAATGCACAGCAGATCCTGCACACAAAAAACCCAGATATCATGCAACACCTGAACTTTTGCAACAAAATTAATTTCTGAGCAACAATTTCTCCAAAATAATGTAAATTTTTGTCTAGAACTGTAATGGCACAATTATTTTAAGAAGATTTGGGGAAAAGAAAAATCCACAAATAATCGAGGATTACAGATAACGGAGGCATAGTTAATTCCAGCACTAGCATAGCTCACATTTCTCGGTATAAACAGTATTGAAGTTAGGTTAGGCACACCTGGCTTGTGTGTTTTGGGGCTGGCTCCTAGATCTGAAAATATTCATCAAGGCCAAGTCTAAAAGTAATCTAATGCTCTTGTTACCTGAACTTCATTCTAATAAGACAGTAACTAAAGAAACCTGAACTGAAATATGGACTAAAAATGCATATAGAGTTAGTCCAAGATTTTAATAATTGATAAAACTACCTTTGTGATATGGAACATATGTGCTTTTCTACTCCCGTTATATGTTAATGTTTCAACTTTTCAGTGTAGCAGTTATATTTTTAGTACAGAACCTCAATCAAGAGAACTGTTGGGTATCTCCTTGTTTGTTAATTTCCCATAGAAATTCTTTCCGAGAAACTTCAGTGATACAAGTCCTTTCTTAATTAAAACTAGTTTATTCTTTCTCG